TTGGTCAGTCATTTTTGGTTCTGTTGCTGTACGTGGCATCTCTTAATACATCTTTTTCCCCCCTTTTCCTTTAGGCTGTTATTCACTGTAGTCTTCACCACATGAGGTTCAGTGTGAACATAATTCCTACAGGCAGCCTGGATTTTTCTGCTGTGTACACCGTGTGCTCTACTTGGTTAGAGAGAATGCTCTGAGTTTTTCTTTTTATAAAACTGGATTTCCTTCATTCATGGTGTTGAAACATGTAGACTTGAACGTGTTCCGAGGCCAAAGGTCTTGAAAGCTGATAGATTTCCAGTTGGAGGAGATGTGTTGCTTACCATGAGGCACACGCTCATTAGCATGGACTGCTCCTCGTCATGACAACCCCCTCATCCTGGTGCGGCTCTTGTGTGAGGTGGCACTTTTGCTGCATAGCCGACATGCCCTTGCTGTACTGCACAATGTCAGTGGAGCATGAACGTGGGTGCCTTGCACCCCACCCCCCACCACAGTCTGCAGGCCTAAAATGGCAGACCATTGTCACGGTTACTCGTATATTCAGTCGTTTATGTTCTACTGGTGTGGCAGCAGGAGAGAACAAGCTTTCAGCCTGGCCACAAGAGCTTATTAGGTGAGAACTGGAGGTGGGACCTAGGGGAAACTATTTTATGAACTACAAGCTTCCCCAAATCATCTTTCGAGGAAAGTGCTGACCTAATTGAAGCAGAGGGACGTTCTAGTGCTGCTTATAGCAAGCTGTAAAACATTGTGAAACATTGTCAGCTTTGAATGGGTTGATGGGTTCCTGAAACTATCTAAACACAACTGATGACTCCATCTTAAAAAACAGAATTAACAGAATCATACTTTGATCTATACTAAAGTTTAAAAGAAACCAGCAAAACAGAGTTTTGACGATATTCAGATTTGCAAATTTGTCTCAAGCACAGGAGAAATTATTTTCTGTGCAGACTTTAAATAACATTTAAAAAGACAGGCATTGACATCACACTGACTTGCACACCTTTAAAATGGTCTGGACAGCCGGGGCTAGTTACTGTTTTTCAATTCACATTCAATTAAATCCGAGTTAAACTAAGGGAGCATGGTATCAAATATCTAATCAAGGGAAGTGTGTATCTATGAAACATAGTCAACATAGACTACTTTACAGAATATTTGCTCTTCCGTCTTTGCTTCCATTCACCACTCGTAGATTTGAATTTACATAAACCATACCCACACAACATTTCCAGTCACTGTGAATATTTGCTTTAGGTTGTTTAAAGAACTGAAGCTCACTAGCTGAAACTAGTGCCACTGAGACTTGAAGAGAAAACAGATGCTGCAGGGCCCATGAAGCTTTATAGTGGAGTCTCTGTTGAAGGGGCCCTGAAGCATAATTGATTTATTTTGTGCCACTGTAAAAAAAAAAAAAAAGGCTTTGTACCACAGAAAAAGTCAAATTTTTCTTAAAATTGCGGTGTGGGAGGCTGCGATTCAGCAGATGAATGTGACTTTGAAGAACTAACAAACTCTGTATTAATAAATGTCAGTAAGTGTTGGTAACATAGCGCCAAATGCCTGAAAACTCTGTTGTCTGCCTGGACACCATCATTCTAAATATGGATTTTAATGCATACAAGCCCGCAAATACCTTTAATATGATCATGTTATCGGAACAGCTTGGGAAACATGAATATATTTGCGGTATTTAGCCCCCATAAAACAGTGCTCAAGTGCGCAGACAGACACAAGACATCATGATCTACATGGTGAATTGAAATTAGAGGTCTGACACCAGTAATCTGCCGGATAAACTGATTACTGCCTGTCGCTTTTGTTTTTCATTGCGGGTGTTCAGATAGAGAGGCCAAATCCTGCAGTGGCTGGTGAATAAAGTAGGCAGGCAGAAACCAAAGTGGGTTAATCCTCCACCGCTGAGGGTAACGCACCCCCTGCAGGAATGGCACAGTGTGGCAAGGACATAAAATTTGCATTATATGCATACTCAGACGGACATGATAGCTTATTTTGTACACCGGCATGTTTAAAGATACTGAGATATCAAAAGCTGCCTGGCTTTATTTCCCAAATGATTAGCATAAAGTACTAAGACCAAACCTGCCGACATTTGGTGTGTACGCATCTTGAACACCTGCTTAGTTGCCATAGCTCAAGTGCCGAGTCAAAATACACGAAGGGAGGAAAGGGACTGGTTTTCAATGTGAAAAGCCTTTCCAAAGACAAACTCTAACCCAGGTTCGGAAAGTCACATAACCAAAGGGGAATTTGAAGTTCTACACCAAACTAGCTTTGACAAAAAACAAAAAAAAAACAGCTTACTATGGATGTTTAAAAGTCTGATCGATATACCCGAATTTGGTTGGAAAGTCTGCTGCACTGGTGCCATCTCTATCCCTCCACATGTGGAAATGTTCTTGGGTAAGACAATAAATTATAATATGCCCCTATGGTGGTAAAGGGTAAATGTGCTACACTGCGTCTTGTGCTACCAACTGAGAGCTGCACCAGCACAAACCTTTTATCGACTCCAAGAAGTGTCAGAAAAAGACACTAATGCGTTTGGGTGTCAAGTAGGTCAAAGGAGACTGCATTTCTCCCCAGATCATCCCTGAAGAACAGAGCAGTACATTTGAACAGCTAATTCATTATTTTTTTTAAATTACCTTTTGTCTTGTCCAAAATGCTTATATGCATTCTGACAGATTAAGTGCTGGGTGAAATTGTTCACTTTGTACATACATTCAGGGAAAGATATTAATTGTTAATATGATACCACCAAAAGAGACGTGGGACAATTCACAAGACTTTTGCCATTTTAAGTACAACAGAAACCAGTGTGAGGTTACAGCAGCCTGAGTCTTTCAGATTAGCTTTGCATTCACTGAATTCATTTTCTTTGCAACGGTCTATTATGCTGCAACAAGGGAATTAAATCAAGAGGAAATTTCACTTCAAGATGTTAACTTTCATTAACGTTTTAAGAAGAAACATGTTCAGATTGAGTAAAGGCATTGGCTCTTTTCAGCTATACTTTTAGGTGAAATCCCATAACCAAGAGCTATAAGAACGATGCCAATGACCCGTAACTGTCAGAGTATTCCCACTGGTTAAAGGTGCTTTATAAGTAGGTCAGAAAGGATCCAGTTTAGGTTTTACAGAATGTGAAATTCTGTTGCCACATCAGAAGACGGAGTTAACTTGGACAAATGCCTCTTTAAATGGACTAAAATTAACTGTAAATAAACTTTAATCTTTAATTGGTGATTTTTATATTTATGCCATGCACTAAACTGTCAAAAGTGGAATGTCTGTAATGATAACAATTCTTTTCTAAAGGTTATACGAATAATGAATGATTGATTTGTAACAAAAAAGATTTTTAACAGAAATCTTTTTTGATGAACTTCATTACATTTTGGCGTGGTTAAGAATTTCAGTTGAGAAATCCAGCTTAATTTGAGTTTAATTTTGCACACCTTCTGAGAGGATATGTAAGTGATCGGTTAACATTTCACAGCACATAATATTAGATACGTAATATTTGTAATTGAAGCTCAAAGATATTTGTATCTATTTATTTATATTATTATTCATATTTAATCATCAGTATTTAGCAAACGGCTCTGTGATGGACGGGCAGACCCTCCAGGATGCACCCAGCCTCTCTGGATGGATGGATGGACGGATGGATGGATGGATGGATGGATGGATGGATGGATGGATGGACACTTAGCAAACCTTTCTCTCTTTTAGCCAACTAATACTTTGGAGGGTCCAAGTCTTAAAGAGTAAGATTCTGGGGCAGCGATATAAGAGAAGACTTCAATGGCTGACTTCCCCACATGCTTGCAGGTTGGGGCAAATGTAATTTGTGGTCCCCACTCCCATGACATGATTAAGAATAAAATCAAGAGTGAAGACACATTTCCACACTTCTCTCTTGTAATGTAATTGGAGGCTCTTTTTATCACAACTGTGCACACGCTCGCACAAATACACACTTTTATAATTAAATGAGAAGGTACTGTCAGCCCTGGTGTAAGGGCGCTTACAATGTTGAGAACACCCCACTGTGGAGGAAACCGTGACTGCTTTCCAATGCTACGCTTGTCTGGTTCTGTTCAGATCACTTCCTCCGCTGGCTCCCACCATCTGGTGGGAGGTAGCACCAGCTCCTCTTGGAGGTGGAGAAGCTCCAAAAACTGTCAGAAATCAGAAGTCAGATTGACAGCTACAGCGCCCCCCTTCTCTCTCTTGATGTCTTATTGGAACATGAACAGATGTATTAGAATATTTATTTGGATAGATAACAAAATATGAAATCCACTGAAATTCACTAAATGAGATTAAACGGTGTTGTTTGCCAATGTAGTCTCCAGACAGGATGAGAAATTATCGGATCCCAGGTTGGGGTCGACTGCGCACGAATAGATCTTATGACATTTCACAGAGTGGAGTTTGATAGTCTAACCTATTGTTTACCTGTAGCATTATATTTCTTCTCAATAAATCATAAAAAACCTTACTGTGTTCTATGTTTACCCCTGTTTTCAGACTCACTGTGCAGGCAATCAGTATTTCCATCAATATATTATGTTTGGTACCAGCATCCACATTACATTACATAACATCCATCCATCCATCCATTTTTTTTAACTTCTTATTCCTAAATGGGGTCGTGGGGGGCTGGAGCCTGTCCCAGTAGTCAATGGGTGAGAGGCAGGGTACACCCTGGACGGTCCACCAGTCCATCGCAGGGCCACACAGAGACACACAAGGACAAACAACCACGCACACTCAATCCAAAGGGCCATTTGAAATGTCCAATCAACCTCACACGCCGGAGAACCCGGAGAGAACCCACGCAGACACAGGGAGAACATGCAAACTCCACACAGAAAGTGTAATTAATCTTTTAATAAATATGCAAAACAACCATTTTTATTGAATATGTTAACACTGCTTCTCCAGAACTAGTGTAATTGGTACAACTAGAACGAGCTTTCCATCTTTGTGATTTCTTGGGCTTTTTGATGCTTTTCAGGTGTTATAGCCAGAACCAGCTCCATTTCATGGCATGGGGAAGGAGCAGGCACTTTGTTGATCTTGGCAAAGCTCTGGCTGATGTCCATGAATGATTTATTTTTCGTTTCAGGGAGGACAGCGCAGAGGTAAATAGATCCCAACACGCAGACAACCACAAACACCAGGAAGGCAAAGGTCTGCAGCTTCTCCTGAAAGGAAAAACGGGGAGAATAGACGTTAGACACATTTCCATCACCCCAACAGATTTGCTTTCAGATTTGATATATTCATTTTTAGAAAAATGAACAGGATGGAGAGCTTTTGCATTGTAATTTGAGGCTGTAGATCAGGGGTGTAGATCAGACTCAGCTCCTCGAGGGTTGCTGTCCTGCAGGTTTTAGATGTTTCCCTGCTATGACACACCTGATTGAGATTCAATTGACCTACTGAAAGCATTAAGGTCTGCACAGACCTGCTGAAGGGAATCAGGTGAGCTGACGCAGGAAAACATCTAAAACCTTCAGGGCAGCGACCCTCAAGGACACCTGTGCTTTAGAGCATTGACTCTTGTCACCGTCCACAAAACCAGAGCCTGTAATTAGTTTCAGCCTCCATAGACCTTTGCCAACTCCATGGATCATCTGTGGCATCTGTTTAGTCATCTGTTTCTGTCAAGCCAGGGTGCACCAGACTTTTTGCATTCAAAACAACTGTATTTCAAATGTATTGCCTTAATATAGAAATGGAGAAAGGGAAAAATCCTTTAATGTACTGTAGTTGTTGCTGTAAATCACCTTTTTTTATATTTATCATTCTTGACCAACGCAGACTCAAACTATTTTTTTTTTTCAAACTATCAAACTAAATTTTGAAAACTGGTGGTGGTGGGGGTTTTTTTTCAAATGAGTATGGACATTTTTATGTACACACATGTTGCTTAGGTTCTGAATGTATGAAATCTAGCCTTAACCCGGGTGTTATGCCAATAAAGAAGATTAGTAATAGGTTTAAAAATAGACACCAACTGATTACCCTGAGAGAGATTTAGATATTGAGTGGCTATGTGTGTTTGTGCACATGGGAGAGAGAGTCTGTGACAGAGATTTACCGTGAGACATTAAATTGACCAACCCACAATTTTATGTTACTAAGTCAGAACGTTTGCTTATGAGTGGACCAAATTCATTTGCTATGCAACGTACTCGCTAACACAGATGTGTATCCGACCAAGGATGACCTCAACATAGAACCACTTCCCTTTTTTCTGTAGCTGTTATATCACCACTTATGTCAGCTTCTTGCAAGGTTTTACTATGATGAGTGTATTTCATTACAGAGACACCCACGGACAAAAAGCATGAAGAAGAAAAAAACAGCATTGTGCAAATAACCTGACCTAGTTTCCCTGCTGCCTCTGTGATGTAATATGCATCTCCAAAGTTAGCAAGTTCCTTAGAAAACACTTTCTCTTAGATGTCAGAGGATATGACTCATTGAACCAAGAGCACACTTTTGCATCTACTGTTTCCGTCATGAATTTATTTTTTTTATCTTTCTCGCAGTCAAGTGGGCATAGGAGGATAAGACTGTTCCACACTTGACACTGGGGTGGGCCTTTGACCAGCTGGGTTAGTTTAGGGGAAACACAAACAATTTGGCATCACATAAACCCTTCAGACCTTCATATCCATTGTTAGCTCAGCAGCCACTATTTTTTTAATATGAGCCTGGCTATTTCAAACTTCATCTGATTTTACTGGACTATGTTCGGATTTTGGACTTTATTTAAATTTTAATTGTCTTGAATTGGACTGTAATGCTAGGAGATAGCATGTGTTGTGATTTGAAACTATGTACTCTAAATAACACAGATTTATGTTGAAGTGAATCAGCTGTTACCACAAAATGGTTGATCAATTTTATTCTGATGCATGCTGGTGAAGTGATGCATTTTCAAGAAGAGTTATGACTCTTTTAACAAGTTTTTCCACATCTAGACCAGAAACAAAATGTAATCATTTCTAAATAGGACAACAGGATAACGTCTGTAAATGTTTGACCCTTTAACATCCTGCTGAACCATTTGGTAGAGCTAATTTTCCATTGATGTTACTCAATCATAGGATGTACTAGAGGAAGTGCACTTTCCTTAACTAGCCCTAAAATTAAGTTTAGGTGTGTTATGCCCAAATCAAGCTTGAGGTAAAATGTTTATTTTTAATGTGGACAAAGACTAACTCAACACATGAGTAAAAGATGGCAGTCTTAAAGTAAGTAAGTGAAAAAACACCTTCGATAGTGGAGTTCAGCTCCTTGACAAAGAAGTCAAATAAAATATTCCATCAGTGTCCATAGCTGGCTTTATTTTTGTCATTAGCTAATTCCTGTTCTCTAAATGCTTCTAACATCAGATATTGTCACAAGTGAGGTCTCAGGGCATTGACAAAATCAACACATCGCCTGTGTCTCTTCCCAAAAAGAAAAACTTCTGCCAAAACTGATGGTGGATCAGTGATTGATGCTCTGAGGGGGATGATAAGTTGTTTAGACACAGTATGACAAACCGCTTAGGGATAGAAGAAAAATAGGATTTCTTTAGATAGGACCTGATAGCACAAAAATGACAGTGCAAGAAAAGATGGTTCAGAAAAAATATGGATTTGGAACAGGGGAGGGCAGACAAGTTAAAAAACTGAAACCCTTACAAAAGACGTACATCAACTGATGATGTTTAAAACAGCCTTGGTTCAGTGAGTGTCCATGCTTGAAAGTATAATGTCACAGTCAGTAGTTCTGGGGCAAGAATGAGTCATCATTGGTGGGTGTGAGCTATAGACTGTGTTTGACGTCTATAGATTGTATTCTCACTGGGAGGCACATTCAAGGACAGTGTCTGCATGGCATGAAAGCAGGGGATGTACATAATATTAAAGTTCCAATTTCCATGGTGGGCTGCTCAACACATTTTATGGATTATCACAGTTAAGGGTGGTTACAGCGTGCACATAAGAATGGGAGGACTAAAAAACAATAAGCACCACAATTATGGATCAGAGCTATGAGAATGTAAACTCAGCATAAAGGCAATTAAGAAAGCGTGCGAAAATGTCTTGTCTTGTTCAATAATTTGCTGGACCGAAAACTTTAATTTGCAGGTCTTTTATCGTTGAATAAGGAATCTATTTTGGCACCTGGAGAAGGACATATGGATTTTTTTTCCCAAAATACAAAAAAGCCTTTTGATTAGATTCTTATTCCAGTTCTTGGAATGTGCACAACAATCCTCCGAATTCCATTATTTCCAGTCTATTTCTTTCAAATGCACATTTGCGGCTCGAGAATAAAACAACTAAGCAAGATGAAAGTAATAAAACGGTAGTGAAAACATTAAATAACACTGTCAGTGTGACAAACTGCAACGGGGTTCTCAATGCTATGGAATAAGAATCTGCCTCAACAACCTTTCCAGGAAATGAGGCTTGCTGTTGTGGATATTGTTTGCTAAATGTCCTTGTGAGGGAAATGAAAAGGAAGCTAGGAAACCACGAAATTATGTTCACTGTTGATAAGAATGTAAACTAACATTTATTAGATATGATCAAAAAAAATATTAAAGTCAATGGACACAGTTTTTCTTGTCCAACAGATTAATTAAGTCCTAATGTTTAATAACTGGTCCCGTTCAACCGTTTTATGCTTCTGTCCCATCAGGAGTGACAGCTGACCCTGCTGCCTGGGTCTGCTGTGAGGTGGTGAGACATTACAGGTTGTGTTGTCTGAGCAGGGGTCAGAGCTGGTTTCAGGTGCGAGTCAGGAACGAGGGGGCCACAGTGGTGATCTTGATGTCCAGTGTGCGCCCGGGAGAAAGTGGCCCAACTGACACCAAGCCAGAAAGAGAACGCTGCCACGATAGCGGCTCTGTCCATCTAAAAATAACTCTGTCGTTTCCGGGCTCTCACAGTTGTCAACACCTCCCTTGTGTTATTTCCTGGGTTATTCTCTTTGCCTCTTCAGGTTAATTTCTGCAGGTCTCCAGTGGCATCAGTCAGTCTTTGATTGATGTCTTTTATCCGTCTAATTCCATGCTAAAATATCATTTTTGTGCTGTCTGGACGTAGATACACTCCATACATTATTAGAGTTGTGTCCAAGCTTTTTTTACTATATTTATAGAACATTTACATCATTTGAGTATGCAGAGACAGTGGGTAATTCATCTAGGTCTAGTGTGGATGGAAATTTACACTCGACCGCAGTTGAGCGCAGAGGGAACTTGTGGGTTGGTCTGCTCATTGATTGCTCTGAACTGAACAGAATTAATGTGGAACAAAAGGGCAAGTAAAGAACAAAAATGTATAGAATACATTCATATGAAACCAAAAAGTATACTAATTCCACTGATATTAGTGACAGTCAAACATTTTCATGAGGTTTATGCATTACATTTAAACATGAGGCTTTAGCCACAGTGTTAATCTAAAAGCAAATGTGAACCCTTTTCTATGGATAGATACGTAGATATGAATTGTACTTCAACAAACAATTCTAACTGAAGACCAATCCGTCATTTTCTACACCGCTCATTCCCATTTATCCACTTATCCCCAAGCAAACTCCACACAGAAAGGCCCCTGGTCCCCTGGGGATTCAAACTAAAACCCTAACCACCACACCATCGTGTCTCCCCTTCCTGAAAACCCGTATTATATTTTTGGCCTCATTAAACCAATACTTGTGAGTATGCCAACTGGCTCATAGCATGGTAACTTTCATTCACAATATCAAACAGCACTTTTCAACATTTTTAACCATTCATGTTGTTGCAAGCAATCTGCTCAAAGCACATGGGTAGAGTCCTGCGGGAGCCTGTGTTCTCAATCCCTCTCTCGCCCAGTCCACCTTGGATTTCTAACTTTTAACACATGCTCCTGCAGCTTGTGTGTTCCTCTCTGACCTGCTTTTGACCGATACCCCCTACTGAATTGAGATTTGCACAAGGCCCATCAAGGCTGGTGTGATCCAAATCCCAAAGAAGTGCTTTTGTGTAAAACATTACTGAAGAGATGCCAAAAAAATCTACCTTGTATTTATTGTTTTCTAAAAGCTTCAGCTAAATCTGTGCTTGTAAAAAAGGTTAGTGTGCAAAATCCCACTTTAAGCCTCAATTCAGATGCATTAATTTATTCCTGTATTGTATAATCTATCTAAA